CGACAGCAAAACGTCCACCATTTTAGGGTAGATCTCGATGCGTTATTCGCCCTCCCAAGCGAACACCGAATGCGTACAGGACCTTTACTGCACATCACCGGAGTGAGGAATAGGAGGACTATACATTAATTTTTCATATCTCGGTCGGCTGTAGTCCAACCTTGCTTCATCTAATGTTCTTAATTATTTTTATGACTCTCTTTCAACTAAACTGATTGAATATGTACATACTTCAGTCTGTATCATTTGTGGTGACTTCAATAATCCCGATACCCGTTTCTTAACCACTCTAGGTCTTCAAAACATTGATACCTTTCCCACTAGGTTTGATACACATCTGGATTTGGGTTTTATCAACCTTCCCAATTTACTTCTTGTAGAACTCCACCCCCACTGGGAATGTCTGATCATTCGGTGTTAAAGTTTTCCCCTATCATCTTTAGCAGAACGAACCATTTACTTTACTCGAAGTATCGATCACGAGCTTCAAATAAGACAGTGTTCTCCAGAAAACCCCACGATGTTAATGGAAATGATCAGACACTTCGACCTTACTTTGTTTTCTGATTCTAACCCTTCCGTTTTCTGTGATCAATTAACAAGCTACTTAAACTTTTGTTATGATGTTTGTTGTTCCTCGGAGACAATTTATCCTGGCCCCGACTGATTCTCCTCCCCACATCTAAAACAACTCCGTCGTTGGAAGGAGCGTGCCTTCAAAATACATAAGTGCGACGAGGTGCGCTCCCTTTCCAAATCGATTCCGGCTGAACTTCAAAGGCTAAACTCTTTATACGCCGTGACCAGGCTTAACAACAAAGGTAATCGTGAGACCTGGCAAACCCTCATACGAATTTCTGGCAACAAAACCTCACACCGCTCATCTTCTGCGGTGGACATAGATGGTCTGAATCAGAATTTCATCAACAGTGGAACCGCTCTCAATGGTCTACCAAAGGGATATGAAATAAACACCACTGATCCCGTCTCCAGCGTTGCAGGTGTTGATATTCATCAAGAGTTGACTCGATTAAATCCTCACAAGTCCTGCGGCCCCGACGGAGTTGTCCTGAAAGAATGTGCTGCCTTCCAAAGATTCAAAGATTTATTATGGGAATAACTTACAAGCTCATGCTTTTCTGGTCTCATAGGTTCGTGCGGTGGATTAGGAAACAGTGATACATACAAATCTTTTTGTAAAATGCCACGTGGTACGTGCGTTTTCCACTGCTTTACGCAGCTTCACTTATGTTGGAACGTAAGATGTGCTAGTGTTTCATCGAGCCTCAGTTTGAAAGACTCAATGCTTGGAGCACAGACGACGTAGGATGGTAGAGAGTTCCAGATCGAACACACTCTGACTGCGAATGACTGACGCCGGCATTTTGAGACCACTAGTTTAAATGGGTGTCCTCTAAGATGAACGTTGGGGTCTTAAAACCGGTCCCAATTATCTCTCATCAGTGAATAGTATCCCTGATCATTAAAGCATTTTAAAATCTGTGTCTGGTAAATATCTTGGTGTCACCCTAACGCATAACCTGTTCTGGTCTGCTTATGTTATCAATGTTTTCACAAAAGACCGAAAACTCTTTGTATGCCTACAGGCTCAGGAAAATGGCCGTACCGCAAAATCTTGCTCTTAAATTTGTTATTACCTGCTCTCTTCCACATTGACTATACTGTTCCCTGGACTGAAAGAAAAGGACTTCACTTTATTTTCGAGATTCCTTAAATTTTGTCCCGCTACAATGGAGTTAATAGCGTTGTTTTAATTGATTTCTTTATTTCCAAGCATCTTGACACTAGTGATACCTTCATTGATACCACGTGATCAAAGGCACTGTCTGCACCAAGCTATTGTGAAAGCCCTGTCGAATCCCGCATCTCGCTCCAAATATCAACTCCTTCCTGCGCGTACTTCCACATATAGAAAAAATGCATACCTTGCTCGGTTATTGGTTAATCGTCAGCCTATTCTCACCCACCTAAAGGAAAAAATCTTGCACTAGTTTTTTCTCACTAGCTAAAGTGTAGAATTTCTTGTATGGTTTTTTTGTTTGCAATTGATCTTATCTGTCTACTGTGAAAANCTGTGAAAATCGAAAATTTCTGAAAATTCACCCTTTGAGTTCACAAAACGTTTCTTGACTTGACTTGATTTGACTTGAAGATAAACCTTCAGAACTAGATAAAAGATATTGGAGAAGAGAACCACCTGATATACTCTAAACAAGAGTCAAAAATTCATCTTTTATGGAGACTCATATAACTTCGGATGCATTTACTTAAATTATTAAAGCAATTATAGACAATAAAACGGTCGGACCTTTGAAAAAAGTTCCATCAAACAAGGTTTCAGGTGGAGGCCGTTTCGCAACCGTCCGACGGGCACTCATTATCAGTTGCCCCCAGAAGTGACTGAAGTTACGTTACTGTAGTCCAGATCATCACAAACAAGATAGACACATCGGTTCCTTAATCGTTGGGACTGATTACTTCAGAATATCTGCATTGCAGCACAACCTTTTATTACCACATGACTAATTAGAGTGGCAAAACAATCCATGTGAACACCGTCGTCCGACTAACATTTACAAAGAAAATTTTTTAATGACCATCAACGAGTTTTGGACAGCTGCCTCGTCCCGTCTGAGACCGATTAGCGGTGCCTGCTTTTTGAGTCTCTGTCGGGGTATATACAAACGTTTTCACGGTATCAAATCCAAATTTGGAAAGGATTTCTCGAAAGAAACTGTGCGTCGTGCTCATAGTATTAGATCCGTATAGGAATGTTTGGATTAGCCACAACGTTGTTGCGGTGAATGAAAAGCCATACCTCTAGTTTCTCAATCCAGAGGGTGGCAAAGCCTGAGCAAATTCACTACCTCGATAGTTTTGCGTTGATTTTACTACCAAGGGAATGATGTGCCCAGTAGTCTGTTTGATCCATTGAGCCAGGTCCACGTGTTCTTGGTGCAGGTATACCGCTTTACCTTTTTCATTTCTTTCGTTCGCCTACTAATGAGTAGATTGAAAAGTATTTCGATTCCCTACTGGACTGACGCAATAAATATTGACTCACGAGGCCTATTGACGACGTCGTTTCCAAGTTTTCAAATGTTTTGAACTGATACCGCAGTTTGGATTACATTTTGTGCAGGTGAAAACACAATTCAACTGTCTCAGTTGTGTTCCACTTTATTCAACATAACCCTAACCATTTGTTTTTGATTGATTCATTCTTTTATGCAAACAAAATGATTTTGTTAGGTTCGTACCGGATTTTGTTCGTCTGTGGATCATTATTCCTGATTTCACCCTAATGTAGAGAAACGATATAATTGTATGTAATTTTCTGTCTCTCAGTTCCCTGAAATGTGCTTTGATTGCGCACTGATCTACCATTCCCAGGATTCACGTGGATTCTTTTACCCCGTCCCCCTCCCCCCCCGGCCTTCGCCAGAGCATTTTATTATTTTTTTTATTTTATTTTTATTTTATTTTATTTATTTTATTTTATTTTTCGCATTTTATTTAACGGTAGTGGAAAACTCTACTTCACTGACATTCATTGGATCACCCAAGTGTCGTTTTATTTCGTCTACTTATGTGGAAAATTTCTCCCTGCGGTACTGTTATCACTGTGTTGCCGTTTTCTTGAATATTTCCGTATAAGCGGCCACAGCGGCTAATTCTCTGTGCTGTTTTTCGCTTGTGGTATCTAAAAATCTCCCTACCGTTCTTTTCAAAGGGTTCTGTTCATTAAATCCATTGTTTGTTTGTTTCAACCAAAGACTGTTCTTGAACACCTTTGGTAAAGTTTTCAGTTGTTGCCAGATATGTTGTATGATCTCCAGTGAAATTGAATTATCTTTTACTACTAGATTGAATTTATTTAAATTATTCTATGAATATTTACTGCTTCTAGCAGTTTTAAGGTCTACAAACCTTATGCAGAATCGCCGAGATATCAAGGTTCACCTGCAAATGCTTATACTCGTCGCCTTACCCCATTCTCCTTATGTGATTGGCAGATCTATCGTGTACCGTTTGACCGACTGCAACAGCTTGATATATCACATATTTCGAACGGTCCCAGCAGCTACTTCAATACGACCACTAGCTAAACACAGTAGATGTCAACCTGTATGTTGTCATTCAAACTGGGATCAAAAATACAAGACAAAAAAGGGGTTTTCTTTAGGCTAATCAAAATGGAATTTAAAGCTACTATCAAGCGACTCTGAATGAGCACACAGGATGTGTCTATCGTGTACATTGTATAGAGTTCTCCTTATTGGGTTATGCCACATTTATGCTAACTAGAAGACCAACATAATTAAAAATGGAAATGTCATATGTAGTTTAAGCAAACTGACCCTTTGTACTGTGCGAATTCCTAATGCGAAATCTACCTACCTTCGTTACAACAATTATGATCGGTACGCCCAGAGGGTTTCCTTTACCAGCATCCACTGACTTTTCGTGGGCGTCTTCCTGTCCCTCCCCGGGGTCTTCGGTGCTTGGCTCCATCGGATGCAACGGTGTGTATGGCCATCCTGTTTGATCATCACGCAACGTTATGCAATGCGATCCTCGACGAATAATTTGAGCAGTTGTGTTATGTGCAACACTTGACTGTTCCTCGCTGCCATCAGCGCTCGCTTTTGATTTTTCAGCCCTCACTGGTTCCGCGTACGATCTGAATTGTGTCTCAACTGTGATATGAGCAAATAGAAAAGTAAAGTTTGTGATTGCTGATGTGAATCAAATCATAATACTCTAGTTGTTGATTTGTCAAACGTAAATCTTGATCAATTAGGCTCATCGTTCAAGTCCCTGAAGGGACAGCAAAATTCGACATTCCCGGGAACAAGGCGACAGATGCATGGTGCACTTTGTCGGTTAATGAAAAGAGATCATCCTAGATCAGAGAACATTCGTTTATTTATCTTCGCACCGGGTTTCATCCGAGGTAACCTTAACGCAGTATTTTAGTTCTTTCTGAGTTGCCGGGCCCAATTTTCTCTCTTTCCAGAGAGTGATGAATGTGCTTTCATTGTAATAGTCTTCCACGGAAGGATACTCCACTTAAGGCGTGACCGCATTTTGCAAACAGTAACCCAGAAAGAGAGCACATGGTAGCGGAAGGGTAGGACAAGCAGCTTGACGCGCAGATGTCACACCAATGGACGCCGACAGCACGCCTGCTGTTGTTTTACACTCGTACGACTTCGTACGAAAATTTATTACCTTTTTGACTTAAAAAGAATTAACCGAATTGAAAAATAAGAACTCCATAAAAATAATAACTTTTCGTAAAATCCCTTGTGAACAAGTTCATCATATAAATCCTTCTGACACAGACCTTATGCTGTTTCCTAAAACCAATTCAATTCAAACAATAGATTACCAGTGAAAATAATCTTGCTTCATCAGCTCGCCATAGGGCACCATATTATGCTGAACGGTTTTTAAGTGGTGATGATCAAGTGGTTGAAGTCATTAAAAATGTCCTAGGGGTCTAGAGTTTGAACCCTGTCACCGCCGCCAATCTTCTACAGTTCTGCATTTCCACAGTCAGACACTGTATGACCGTGGCTTTCCATCTGAAAGTTATCTGTACATTTTTATATTTAGTAAGTTAAAAAAGGAAGTATAACACTTATTTATTTGTTTATTTATTTAGAACAGAATCGCACAGTATTCATTTTCATACTACTCATATTTGATTCGCACCTGTTCCATTCAGCTTTACTTCGTACATACATATTCACTGCATTGTAGAAACAGTTCAAGGTAAAATCTATATTATTGCAGCCAAGTAGGTTCGATCTTAATGTGATTTAGAACCTAATTACTATGCTCATCGGAAAAGAGAATAAATCCACATCCAGTCTCAGTTTGAGAGTCATGCATTTTGGAAAACCAAAGCTGTCATAAATTACGGTGGACAGCATGTGCACACGCTTGCAGTGAGCCTCGTTATGAGTTACTTTCAATGTATCTGAATGTAAAGCCGTTATGTGTCAGCGGATCTGGTCATTAATGCATCAAAAGCTTTCATCTGGACTGATTGAAAACGAGTCATTCTGCTAAGGAAGAGACTAATTTCCGAGGAAATTTGCCTAATGGGTTCTCTGCGGAATTACAAAGAGGAGTCGGCAACCAGATAATTCTCCTGACAGTTTGTGAATCTCGAATAGTGTATAATGGTTTCCGTAAAACGAACTAAGGTGTCGAGTGGGCAAACAATTTTCTCAGCACACTCTGTTCAGTCCTGGCGATACAGATACCATAGTTTATCTATTTGCAAAAGTCTTCTCCTAATTGATCATGTGCAAAGTGCTTATTCCTGTCTGTCCGTCTGTCTGTCTGTCTGTCTGTCTGTCTGTCTGTCTCTCCGTCGGTCTGTCTCTCCGTCTGTCTGTCTCTTCTCTCGAATACAGATTAAAGAAGTAATTAGAATTTGCGAGGAATTTGAACAAGCCAGTCAGAAGGTAAATACTGCGAGAGGTATTTCTATTGCATACGCTCATCGGTCGCGCATGTATGACAAATATGAAGTGACTCGCGAAATATTGTTAATATTTTTGTTGCTCAAGATTTGCTCTCTTCTTGTGTTCTTGTGTCTGATCGCACAAGACTGGCTTCAGCCGAGATAGACCCAGAATAAAGGTAACACGTCTGTGAACACAGGCGGAGTTTATCATGAGCGACTGATAGTACCTAAAGCAACCCTAGTCCATGTTATTCCGGATGATGGAAGAAAGAAGAGATGCTCGTTTGTTTTACTTTGTGACTGCTTTCGACCAAACGGTGTACGATGACAAAGTTGGTTGATTGTTTGACATGATGCAGCATTGCATTATGTTCTTTATAGGGCGTTTTTAGATACGAACATTGGGTCTAATTACTTATCTGACTGTATAAACTATTGAACTAATCTGGATACGAACTATCACAAAATATTTTCCCCATTTTTCGTCAATTTTGTTCAATTTCATACGTACACAACGGATGAAAATATACAAAAGGAATTCCTCCTGTAGCTTTAGGTTTTAAGATTCCTGCTCAAATGTGGAAAAGTAGTATGAACTGGCCAAGGACATACGTCATCATCATTATTCATGACTCACTGGAATCTCGAAGTGCTTTCATTTCTCCCGGGGCCAGGTTGAGACGAACTACGTGCTGCTGAACAATACGCAACCACATTTGTAACTCGTTCATGATGGACCACGGGTCTGTCAGACTGACACATATGAGCAACATGGTGTGCCACACACTGGGCTCGTTCAATGCGAATTTGAGTAAATGACTCTGCGCCGGATCTCCATCTAAACTCCAGATTCCCAACTGCAGTGTTTCCGATACTGGGACATAAATGAACACGGGGCACATTGGAAGGGAATTGTAAGAGAGTGGAAAAACTATCGTTCGATCGGAGTGACATAACAGGACAACACCAACAATCAAACTAAATGTTTTTCTATGTGTACGATATAAAAAGACTGACTTAGTCGTGTGTCATGTCAATTTTTATAGTCCGAAGATGACACTGCGTTAGCATCTGAAGGACCATCTTTCCGAGTTCTGTATTACTCCAGGCAGACTTCTAATAACGATAGTCCTGCTTTTGAGAAGTCATCTTACAATTGTATAAGATTGGTTTAGACTGACCACTCCTCAGATTTCACATTCAGGCACAGTCCTCAGTTCTTCCAGTAAACGATACACTCGCAAGCACTAGACTTGAACTGCTTTCTTACAAACTCCTTCCATGCAGTTGGTCCGGAGTTCAAAGCCCGGATGGGATGATGGATATGCATTATTGATGAGCTCTATTAAGAGTGGAACTCGAATCTTGTGCTTCCGAGCGTATGACTGATTGGAAGAACTAATAATTGTGCATGAAGATGGAGAGTGAACAATGATCAGTTCAAATAAACATCAGATATCCCAAAACGACTACTCACAAGTTAAATGTGAAATGTATAATAAACAAATACTGAAAGCGTAAAAACTTTTGAAAATGTCACCCGTTCAGAGTCAACATCGAACAACTCCAGCTGATATTCATTATTTGGTGTGGATCCAACATAGCCTGCGTTAGAAATGTTTCACTTTTAGGCGACTAGCATCTGAGTGATTGCAAGTTGGTTTACTGGTTAGTATCCATGCCTGACATTCATGCTTGTCGCCTTTCTTCGGTAAGTTCCGGACAGAATAAGAAACTACTCCTGTACCGTTTCAATATTCCTCAGAATTTTTAAGGACCTTCGGACTCTTCTTCCACTTTAATCTTATTAATCGGACTTCAAACCTAACCAAAGAGATTTTGGCACTAATCCAGTGGTGAAAGTTGCATTTGCATGTGTTTCACGGTCTCTGATGAAAGATTGCCACATCACACCGAAGGTTGCAGTACTGTGGTAAAAAACACGATTGCATCAAAACTCAGTCGACTCATTAGAAGCTCAGACTTGCAGTCGTATCGCAGATGCGTACTAATCAGGGCTACGAGTCGTATGAAGTAACCGAATGGACGCCATTGCAGAAAGATATAATACGATCGATCGATCCAAGGATA